GAAAGTCCCCCGCCTGGGGTCTTTCACAGGGTAGGGATTGGTCTGATTTCAGTGCTGATCTCAGATTGGCTAGAGCTCCTACCCAAGGATTGGTTAGTTTTCTGCACAGGATTAAAGTCAGATTTGGCTCTGGTTTCAGAGCCAAAGTGTGTTTCATTCTCTGATCGTTTTTAGCCTTTTGGCTCCAATTTTAGGGCCAGGGTGCATTTCTTTCACTGACTCAGATTCCAGGGACAAAGTGTGTTCCTTTGGTACTGGTTTCAGGGTCAGTGTGCATTTCCTTAATTCTGGTTGCAGGGACAAAGTGTGTTCCTTTGGCTCTGCTTAGGGTGTGTTTCTTTGACTGGTCCCTTTTCCCTACATCTAGTCTCCCCAGTGCTGGGTTTATAGGTGATGCCACTGTGTCCATCCTATGTAATGGTGAAGATGGAACACAGGACTTAGTGCATGCTAGTCAAGCACTTTACCAACTCTTAGGGTTTCAGTTGCTGTGAAGAGACACTGTGACCATGGCAACTCTTTGTTTGTTTGTTTGTTTTTTGAGACAGGGTGTCTCTTTGTATGTAACAGCCCTAGCTGTCCTGGAACTAACTTTTTTTTTTTTGAAACAGGGTTTCTCTGTGTAGCTGTGGAGACAGGCCATGAACTCACACACATCAGCCTACCTCTGCTCCCGAGTGCTGGGACTGAAGGTGTGCACCACTACCATCCAGTGACATAGCAACTCTTTTTTTTTTTTTTGGTTTTCGAGACAGGGTTTCTCTGTGGCTTTGGATGCTGTCCTGGAACTCACTTTGTAGACCAGGCTGGCCTCGAACTCACAGAGATCCGCCTGCCTCTGCCTCCCGAGTGCTGGGATTAAAGGCGTGCGCCACCACCGCCCGGCAACATAGCAACTCTTATAAAGAAAATGAAGGGCCCAGACCCTCATCCAGCCCCCTGCTTTGGCAGCCACGTCAGGCTGCAGAAGAGACCCAGCAAGATGTAGGCCTCTGACTCCGCAGCACATGCTGAGCTCTCAACCTTGTCCAACCTTGCTCTAGTCATTAGGAAGCCACAAACCCCCGTGTGGCAAGGGACCAGAAGTTAGCTGGCCGGGTATGGCTGTGCTTTACTGATAATGGTGGACTGCAGGGCTTAGCAAGTGCCCTGGATGGCCTCAAGGTACAGCAACCTTTCTGCAACTGCAGCTGACCAATCAACTCAGGACAGATTCCCAGCCCAGAGGTGCACCAATCCTGAGATTGTTGCTATGCAACTATCAGACCCCCCAGGTACTTCCCTTGTTCTACCCCAATATATGCCCTGCCCCATGCTGCTCTGGGTCCCTCCTACTCCACCTGCTGTGTTGGATGGATGGAGGACCTGAGTTAACTCAACTCATAAATAAAAAAGTCTCTTTTGCTTTTACATCTGATCTGGTGTCTTGGTGGATTGGGGGATCAGTCTGAGCACAACAAAAGCATTTAATGAGGTGGCAGGTTACAGTTTCAGAGGTCTAGTCCATTGTCATCATGGTGGGGTGCACGGTGGCATGCAGGCAGACATGGACTGGAGAAGGAGCTGCTACATGTTGATATGCAGGCAACAGGAAGTACACTGAGAGTTTTGCATCTCGGCCATCAGAAGCTGTCTGTCTCACTGGGTGGGCTTCAGGATATATGACACCTCAAAGTCGGCCTCCAACAAGACCTCACCTCCTAATAGTGCCACTCCCTTTGAGGGTCATTTTCTTTCAAATCACCACACCCACCAAGTCACGTCCCCAGCTTCCCCACCACCATCACTGTCCCTATTCTTCCTTTTCATGCTTTGGACTTGAATAAACTGGGTCAGTTGTTCCTATAGGATGTACTAAATTCAGGGTTTGTTGCCTTCCCATGATGATATTTAGCCTCTTATCCTCTGTATTCCTGCAAAATGAAAGTTGGACTTGAAGCCTGATTATATTTCTATTCAAGTTTTGGGGATATTTTTTTTCTGAGACAGGGTTTCACTATATTACAGCCTTGGCTGTCCTGTAACTCACTCTGTAGACCAGGCTGGCTCAAAGTCACAGAGACCTACCTGCTTCTGCCTGGGGCTAAAGGTATGTACCACCACCTGGCTAAAGTACTAGTTTTTAAAGATTCAGTTATTTTATTTTTAAATTTTATTTATTTATTTTTCATTCTTTGGGCAGGGGTGGGGGCTTAGGGGGTGGTTCTGAGGTAACTCACTCTTTAGACCAGGCTGGCCTCCAACTCACAGAGACCTGCCTGCCTCTGCCTCCCAAGTGCTGGGATTAAAGGCATTGACCACCACCACCCAACTTGTTTTTCATTTTTCAAGACAGGATTTTTCTGTGTAGTAGCTCTGGCTGTCCTGGAACTCATTCTGTAGACCAGGCTGGCCTCAGACTCAGAGATCTGCCTGTCTCTGCCTCCTGAGTGTTGGGATTAAGGGTGTGTGCCACCACCAGCCTAAGATGTATTTTTTTTTTTTTTTTGGTTTTTCGAGACAGGGTTTCTCTGTATTGTTTTGGAGGCTGTCCTGGAACTCACTCTGTAGACCAGGCTGGCCTCGAACTCACAGAGATCCACCTGCCTCTGCCTCCCGAGTGCTGGGATTAAAGGCATGTGCCACCAACGCCCGGCCTAAGATGTATTTATATGCACTGTTGTTTTGCTGGCAAGTATGCAATACACACAAAGATCAGAAGGATGTTAGATACTAGGAACTAAAGTTACAGATGGTTGTGATCTAGGTACTGGGAACTGAACTCAGGACTTCTGCACAAGCAACAAGTGTTCTTAAGTACTTCAATAACTCTCCAGCCCCTAATACTGAGTTTTGTTTTGTTTTAAGATTTGTTTTAGCTGGGTGGTGGTGGTGGGTGGTGTTGGTGGCGCACCCCTTTAATCCCAGCACTTGGCAGGCAGAGACAGGCAGGTTTCTGTGAGTTCCAGGCCAGCCTGGTCTATAAAGTCAGTTCCAGGACGGGCTCCAAAGCTACACAGAGAAACTGTCTCGAAAAACCAAAAGGATTTATTTTATAAGAGGGTGGTGGTGGCACATCCCAGGAGGAGGCCAGCCTGGTCTACAGAGAGAGTTCCAGGACAAACTCCAAAGCAGTACAGAGAAACCCTGTCTCATAAAACCAAAAAAAAAAAAATTGCAGCATGGGACTGGAGAGATGGCTTAGCAGTCCAGAACATTGGGTACTCTTCCAGAGGACCTGGGTTCAATTCCCAGTACTCACATGGTAGTTCACAACTCTCTGTAACTCAAGTTCCAGAGGATTCAACACCCTCACAGAGACAACAGGCAAAACAACAATGCACATAAAAGAAAAATAAACTATTTTTAAAAATTAAAAGAATGCAGCTAGGTGGTGTTGTTGCATGCCCTTAACCCCAGCATGTTGAAGCAGAGACAGGCAGATCTGTGTGAGTTCAAAGCCAACCTGGTCTACTGAGTGAGTTCTAAGACAGCCTCCAATGCTACAGAGAAATTGTATGTCAAAAAAATTAAAAATATACAACAATCTTTGCATCATTAAACAAATATTCCACAGCATAAATGAATGTAACACATCTAATACTAAAATTCCACAACATGCATTTAAAAAAATATTCTCAGAAGGAGAGATGGCTCAGTAGTTAAGAGCACTGACTGCTCTTTCAGGGGACCTGGGTTCAATTCCCAGCACCCACATGACATCTCACCACTGTAATTACAGCTCTGGGAGTTCTAACACCTTCACATAGACACACATGCAAGCAAAAACAGCAATGCATATAAAATGAAAAAAAATAGAAAAAAAGGAATATTCTCTTTTTGAGAGAGAAAGTCTCACTGTGTTGTACAGACTGGATATATTTATTTATATTTTCATTTTATACGAATGGGTAACTTGTGAGCCTAGTGCCCTTGGAGGCCAGAAGAGGGCCTTGGGTCCCCTGAAACTGGAGTTGAGAGCCACCATATGGGTGCTGGGAGTCAAACCCAGATCCTCTGGAAGAGCAGTAAGCTCTAATCACTGAGCCCATTTTTGTGGCTCCAGGGATGATTGTCTTTAATTTTTTTTTTTGGTTTTTCGAGACAGGGTTTCTCTGTGGCTTTGGAGGCTGTCCTGGAACTCACTCTGTAGACCAGGCTGGCCTCGAACTCACAGAGATCCACCTGCCTCTGCCTCCCGAGTGCTGGGATTAAAGGCGTGCGCCACCAACGCCCGGCTGTCTTTAATTTTTTAACTCAAGGAATCCTCTTGCCTCAGCTTCCTGGATATCTGTAACTACAGGCATGTGTGTGCCTGGTTTATATTAGGTATGCATATTAGATATATATATTCTTTTTTGTGTTTTTTTCAAGACAGGGTTTTACTATGTAGTTCTGGCTGTCCTGTAACTCACTATGTAGACCACAGTCTTGAACTCACACAGAGGTCCACCTGTCTCTGCCTCCCAAGTGCTGGGATTAAAAACATGTGTCACTATGATAGACTTTAATATTTTTCTTCTAGGGAAAGACATGGGATACAGAAAAAAAAATAAAGACAATAGTGCTATGAAGACAATTCCTTTTCTCAATATTTAATATATGCTTTTCATACTATGTATATTCTGGCTTGGTCGGGTTTGGGATTAGGGAGTGGGGCTTAATGTTAAAGAGTGGTGGCCAATGCCTTTAATTCCAGCCCTTGGAAGGCAAAGACAGGAGTGTCTTTTTGTTATGTATTATTGGGCCAGCCTGGTCTACATAGCCAGGACAAGGCATTTAGGGTTACATAGTACGACATGGTCTCAGAAAAGAAAAAAGAAAGGAAAAGGCTAGACTGTAGGCCATCATGCAGGTTCTCTCTGTCAACTACCGCTCACCCCGGTGCTGTGTCCTCCGGGGCCTCCCTGGGCCCGTCCTTCTCCCTGGTGATGGGTGCACCCGGGGTCACGCCCCCGCCCCAGGTCAGGGGTTGGAGAGAGGGCCTCCTGCCTGGCAGGGTCAGTTTCCTTTCCCGTTGCCGTTCCAGCCCCCCCCGCCCCCGCCGCCCCGCGGCGCTTCCCCTTCGGAGCCATGGTGCCTGTCCCGGGAGCCCCGGGGCCAGGCCGGGACCGCGGGGACCCAGCTTCCGAGAGTCGGGAGGAGCCGGGCAGCCCGCAGCTCTCGCCTTCCGCGTCCTTCTCGCGGTGGCTGGCCGCGAGCCCGGGAGCGGGCGGCTCGCCGCTGCGCCTGGCGGGGTGGGGCGGGATGGCGTCGTCCACGTGGCTGGAGGCCGGCCTGGCCCGGGTGCTCTTCTACCCGACGCTGCTCTACACGGTGTTCCGCGGGAGGGTGAGAGGATGGGCGCACCGCGACTGGTACCACCGCATCGACGCCACGGTGCTGCTGGGCGCGCTGCCGATGCGGAGCATGACGCGCCGGGTGAGAGAGGCCGCCGGGCCGGGCCGGGCCGGGAGCGGGCCCCGGGCCTCGGCGGGCGCCCCACGGCCCTCGCTGAGCCCTCTCTTTGCTTCGGCAGCTGGTACTGGACGAGAACGTTCGCGGGGTGATCACCATGAACGAGGAGTACGAGACTAGATTCCTGTGCAACACCTCGAAGGTGAGGACCAAGGGCCCGCCCGCCTGGGCCAGTACTCGGGCCTGTGAGGGCCGCTGCGGGTGCCCGTGTCTCCCAGACGAGTGTCAGAGACCTAGTTGCCTTCTCAAGCGTTGAGTAAGCGCATCAAGTTAAGTGGCTGCAGGTGAAAAGCAGCCACAGTTGATAAGCCAGGATGAAGTCTGCGAGCCTGGAGCTCTGGCGACTCAGGTGGCGGAAGCAGAATTTTTTGAACCCAAGAGTTCAAAAGTGCTTTGGGCACTGTTTGAAAAAGAGAGCGAGCTAATCCGGTTGGGTGGCTCACTCCTGGAATTCCGGCTAGCACAGGCCAGAGAAAGGATTGCGGGAAGTTCCAGGCCAACATGGAGTTCTGCACTAGACAGGGCACAAGCAAGCCCTCAAAATCGAGACCAGGGATGCAGTTCTTTATGCACAAAATTGGACACATATATGATGTTACTTTGCCGTTGTTGTGTATTTTGAGATAGGGTCTAAAGTCGATAGTGAACTTGATCTGATTACGTTGCCTCCCCTTGCCAAATACTGAGATTATAGGCATGTGCTAGTACAACCGTCTTGTAGTTGTGATTTTGGTAACTTAAATTGTGACTTATGTGCCTTTCATTCATTCTCATTTAACACTTGTTTTCGCACCAAGTATGAATTAGGCAATGTTTTAGTTAGCTTTGGAGATGAAGGCCAACTCTAAGAAAAGCACCTCCTTTTAAGAGGGGGTGTGGCTTAGCTGAAACAGTCTGGAGACACAGGCAAGAGGATCTCTGAGTTCGAGGCCAACCTGGTCTACAGAGCGAGTTTCTGGGCATCCAGGGCTACATAGAGAAAGACTGTCTTGAAAAAAACAAACAACAACAACAAAAAGGGGGATGTGGCTCATATCTGTAATATTAGCACTGTGTGTGCAGCTGGGAGGATCAAAAACTTGAGGGCAGCCTGGGCTACATGAGCCTATGTCTAAAAGCAAAGTCACACAGATAAGAAACACACACACACATACACACACACCGATTGCCCCCCCCCCACACACACACAGGGTTTCTCTGTGTAGCTTTTGAGGCTGTTCTGGACTCTCTCTGTAGACTAAGCTAGTCTCAAACTCACAGAGATCCGCCTGCCTCTGCTTCCCGAGTACTGGGATTAAAGGCGTGCTTCCACGGCTGAATTTTAAGGAGCTAATATTTTGTAACTAAAGATTGGAGCATGTAGAGAATGTTTGGACATCTTTAATAGCAGTATGTCTGCTTAATGGAGGGTCAGCTGTTTGGTTTTTGTTTTTTGTTCTTCCAGACAGGGTTTCTCTGAGTGGCCCTGTCTGTCCTGTAACTGGATCTGTAAACTAGGCTGGCCTCAAACTCAGATCAGCCTGCCTCTGCCTTCTGAGTGCTGAGATTAAAGGCTGTGCCCCTACTGCCAGCCAAAGGTGGGTTGTTTTCAAGGCATTTCTGTGTTGTTGTTGTTCTTTTCATTGGCATTTCTGGTTTTTTTTTTCCGAGACAAGGTTTCTCTGTTTTGGAGGCTGTCCTGGAACTTGCTCAGTAGACCAGGCTTGGTCTCGAACTCACAGAGATCCGCCTGCTTCTGCCTCCTGAGTGCTTAGATTAAAGGCGTGCGCCACCAACGCCTGGCAGCATTTCTGTTTTAAGAGTCACATTATAGTAAACCCTGGAACTTGCTTGCTGTTTTGCTGCTTGGGGACCCCCTCTTCAAACCATTTACTCAAACTTCTTTGATTTTCCTTTTTTTTTTTCCATTTCAGATAGGTTTATTTAGTCAATTTTAAAAGGATGATGTGTCCATTTGTAATTTCAGCCAAAAACAATGTTGATTTTCCTTTTTATGCTGGTGTGCCCCGTTCTAGGAATGGAAGAAAGCAGGAGTTGAGCAGCTACGGCTCAGCACAGTTGACATGACTGGGGTTCCCACCTTGGCCAACCTCCACAGGGGAGTCCAGTTTGCTCTCAAGTACCAGTCACTGGGCCAGTGTGTCTACGTGCATTGTAAGGCTGGGCGATCCAGAAGTGCCACAATGGTGGCAGCATATCTGATTCAGGTAGGAGGAGTAACCCTGGAGTAGCCTCTGGATAATTTCCAAAAGTATAGCAGCATACTTTCCTGGCTGACCTTCCTGGGGAGAATCATTGTCCATTTCTGGCCTGACAGAAGGTAGTATGGCATGGTGCCAAACACCCCAGCATTGTGCCCAGGCCAGCTTCTGGTTTTGCTCTTACAAACATGGATTCTCGTCTCTGATGCTGTCTCTTTAGCTTAAATGTGACAGAAAACTTAAATGAGAAGGTATGTCAAAGTGCTTGCCTGCAACAGGTCTAAGATAGATAGATAGATAGATAGATAGATAGATAGATAGATAGATGATAGAAGAGTTTTAAAGTGTTCAACCCAGCAGAAGACTGGAAAATTACTTTTTGTTTGAGATCGTAAGAGATAGTCTGATTATGAGCCCTGACTGTCTGGGAATTCACTATGGAGACTAGACTGGTGCCTGTGTAAATAAGGCTTGCAGCAATCCTCCTGCCTCTGCCTCCTGAGTGCTGGGATTACAGGCATGCACACCATACCTGGCCCAACACTTGCTTTAAATGGCATGGCAGAGGGCTAGCTCAAGCAATTGCTTTAAATAACATGGCAGTGGGCTAGCTCAGTTGGTAGAGTGCTCCTTTAGTGTGCTTAGAGCCCTGGGTTTGATCCCCAGCACTGCATAAAACTGAGTGTGGTAAGGCACACCTGTAATCCCAATGCTTGGGAGATGGAGGCAGGGGGATGAAGCTGAATGACAGCCTCAGCCACAGGGCTATATTGTGAGTTCACAGCCCAAAACAGCAGGCTTGAAAGCTTAATGTTACAGGCATCAGTGCTAATTGTTTCTCGCTCTGGCATTTCAGAGTGAAGCTCTGGGCATTAGTTTTTGTTGTTCAGCTGGGGATATTGCTCAGTGGTGGAGTGCCTGTCCAGCATGTGTGACGTCTTAACTTTATTCCCTGATACTGGGGGAGGGGGGTGTTACTGATTGGCAAGCAGAAGGCTTTTTAAAATATTTAGAAGCAAATGCTTTATATTTATCATTCCCTGTTGTCTTTCCTTTTCCAGCTTGACTCATCTTTGCTGTTAGTCTGGTTCTTGCATAGTGTTTCCAGTCAAGTGGGTAGTTTAAGGAAATACAATAATCAGCGTAGCCCTGTTAATGTGGAGTATATGTGCTTGAACTACACTTTTCATTATAACCATAGTTTTCATTATAAAGATTCTGCGGGAAGCTGGGTATGGCTGTGCACACCTGTAATTGGAAGCAGAGGATCTCTGCAATTTTTTTTTTTTTTTTTTTTTTTTGGTTTTTCGAGACAGGGTTTCTCTGTGGCTTTGGAGGCTGTCCTGGAACTAGCTCTTGTAGACCAGGTTGGCCTCGAACTCACCGAGATCCGCCTGCCTCTGCCTCCCAAGTGCTGGGATTAAAGGCGTGCGCCACCAACGCCCGGCTCTCTGCAAGTCTTAAGGCCACACTGCTCTATGTAGCATGAATTCCAGGTCAAGCAGACGATATATAGTGAGACTCTGTCTCAAAGAAGACCATAAAGAACAAACACCTGCTGGAAGTAATTTCAGGGAGTATTTGGGTCCAGAGGAGAACTGATCCAGAAGGCTAGAACTGTTTTAATCATGTTGAGTTCTATATCAGTGTGCATCCTTAAAACACAAAGGTAAGCTGGGCATTGGTGGCACACGCCTTTAATTCCAGCACTTGGGAGGCAGAGGCAGGTGGATCTCTCTGAGTTCGAGACCAGCCAGCCTGGTCTACAGAGTGAGTTCCAGGACAGTCTCCAAAAAACAATACAGAGAAACCCTGTCTCGAAAAACCAAAATAAAAAACAAAAAACCCCACAAAGGTAGCCAGGCATTGGTGGCACACGCCTTTAATCCCAGCGCTCGGAAGGCAGAGGCAGGTGGATCTCTGTGAGTTTGAGGCCAGCTTAGTCTACTGAGCTAGTTCCAGGACAAATAGGGCTGTTACACAGAGAAACCCTGTTTCAGAAAACAAAAACCAAAACAAAACAAAAAACCACAAAGGTAACCTACCTAAATTTAAAAACTATGAATTTTTCTAGCTATAGTGATGAATTTCAGAAAAACATGTCATATGCTTTTTTTTTTTTTTTTTTTGGTTTTTATGAGACAGGGTTTCTCTGTATTGTTTTGGAGGTTGTCGGTCCAGCCCGGCCTCGAACTCGCAGAGATCCGCCTGCCTCTGCCTCCCGAGTGCTGGGATTAAATGCGTGCGCCACCACTGCCCGGCTGTTATATGCTTTTAGAAATTAATTTTCATGTGTCTCGTGTCAGACTCTCATGTAGCACAGGCTGGCCTCAAAGTCAGGTGTGTCAGTGAGGATGACCTGGAACTTGTGGCCCTCCTGCCTCACCTCCCAGTCACAGATGTGTATCAAGGCACCCAGTGTATGTGGTCCTGGGGCTTTCACTCAGACCTGGTAAGCACTTCACCACTGAGCTACGCTCCCAGCCTACTTTTAGAAATTCTTATTAAAATCCCAGCTCAAAAAGGACAGAGTAGACCTAGGAAATCTGGGGTCTCAGTTTCATGGCTTCAACTTTTTTTCCCTCACTATTTGGCAGAGTAAGAATGAACAGGGTTGTAGGGTTGGTTGACTGAAATAGTTAAAGGTGCTGTCATGGAAGATGCCCTGTTGTTCTTGACAAGGTGTCTGATTGTCAAGTGTCTCTTACTCTGGCTGGCCTCACAATCTAACAGTCCTGTGCACATGTGATCTCCAGCATACCACACCCAGCAAAGGAACCTTTTTTTAATCCTGGGCTTGAGCCCAGGTAATTTAAGCATATTAAGCAAATGCTCTATCATTGACCTATATCCTAGCGCTCCTTTCATTGAAACATGGTTTCATTAAGTCACCTGGGCTGGCTTAGAACTATAACTCAGACAAGCTCTCAAGTTGTGGATCTCCTGCCTTAACCTCCTGAGAACCTGGGCTTGTAGCCTAGCTGGAGCATGACTTTTTTTTCTGGGCAGAAGGGGGTGGGATCTGAAGACAGGATTTCCCAGGTAGAGCCTGTCCTGGAACTGGATCTGTAGACCAGGCTGGCCTTGAACTCACAGAGATCCACCTGCCTCTGCCTCCCGAGTGCTGGATTTTAAGGCATGCGCCACCACTGCTTGGCTGGAGCATGATTTTCAAAGCTCTCTAATATGGAGTCTTCATTTACTTGGAGAAAAAAAAACTATTACATACTATTCATTTTATTTATATGTGCAAGTGTGTGTGGGCATGCCTTGGCACTTATGTGGAGGTCAGAGGACAACGTACAGGGGTTAGTTTTCATTTTCCCATGTAAATTCCTGGGGCCAAACTTAGGTTATAGTTGTCAGGCCTGGCAGCAAGTACCTTTACCTGGAGAGCTACCTTGCCAGCAAAATTTAATCCTGGGAGTCCTTCAGCACCTGCTTATAGGCCAAGGGCACCGTTATGCTTGCCCCTTCCCTTTTTGCTCATTTTCTCACCTTGTACTCCAGGTGCACAACTGGAGCCCAGAGGAAGCTGTAGAAGCTATCGCCAAAATCCGGTCACACATCTCCATCAGGCCTAACCAGCTGCAAGTTCTCAAAGAGTTCCACAAGGAGATTACTGCAAGAGCAGCAAAGAGTAACTGATGACATCTCACATTGACATTTCAAGACTATGAAGTCTGTGGATGACCCAAGTAAAAAGTTTAAAGGACAAAGGGGCTTAAGCCAGGGCAACACCCCAAATATGCTGAGAAATAGATAATGTGCCTCCTTTGCCTTCCTACCCTGAAATAACACTGTCAGATGGCTACAGAGAACAAGATTGTCTGGCTAAATCTTATTTTCTTCGAGAGGGTCAAGGAAATATTGATTTTAACAGAAATCTATTGTGTATCTGATATTTTGTGTAATGCACCATAACAGACGTTAAATGCTAGAAAAGGAAAGAATAAATACTCAGATCTGTTCTTTGTTACTGTCAGAATCCCAATTTCAATTGTATAACTTGGCAAAATGCTTGCCAGCATGTATAAGGCTCCAAGTTTGGTCCCTAGCACTTCCAAAAATAAAAATAACCCTTATTTCCCTGACCCTGTGGGACTCCCCTCACACTTCTGGAGCAATGATCAGAATGTAAAAGAATGTATGAGGTGTAGGCAGGATTGCTGACTCAGGAATGTCTATAATTAGTTCCCCTTCAGAAATCACCCTCCCAGAGTCAACACAGACACATATCACTTCAAAAACTTTTATTTGTACGAACAGTTCCTCACTCTTGATTTAGCTTAGAGCTTTTAAAAGACCAGAGATCGTATATATTTGAGTTTGGAAAAGTTTCTGCTATTAATCAGAAATAAATGTTTCTACTTTCTGGCTTATCTATTCATATAAGCCAAAAATCAAACCAAAGTTTTTTTCCTGACAGAAAACATTAGAAGGAGCATCCTGAATTCTAGAGTTGATTCTTGCTGGTGAAATACATTTTTAGCTTAGTCTACTGTCCCCACTAAATCCTGAAGGAAAACTCTTAATACTTAATTCTTTGTGGAAAAGTGACAACTAGCCACTTTGCTGGCTATAGACAAAAAGGAATGGGCCTCTTTCTGCATGGGAATCAAGGTGCTTCTATTAACACTGATCTGGTAAGGGGAGACTGTGCCTAAGTCTGAGAAGAGGCTGCCTCTAAGCAGTATGAAGTGAGGCACGGGCTCACGGGGATAATGGCAGAGTTCAAGCAACCCCCTGAGCAGCAGTAGTGTGGAAAGCCCTAGACGAGTACCCCACGAGCCTGGGGACGGGCTAAGGCGCTGCCTTCCTCATGGATACCCAAACTAACACACTACTCTGAACCAGGGGATTTCAGGTTTGACTGGGGATGCACAGAAAAGGGGAGGGCAAAGGGGCCAGCTGTTCCTCCCATCACTGTCTTAGGCCAACACAAACTGCAAATTGGTAAGCAGCACCTTAATGCCTCTTGTGACAGTTACAGCTGAAGTAGCAGGGTCCAGCTTATAGGTGTTGGCATCTCCCTTCTTATATCGATCCCTGAAGACGTAGATGCTTCCATTACAGCTAGCAATCTTCCAGAGGGATGGGGCAGAGCTCCAGGCCTCAGGAAGACAAAGCCGGGTGAAGCTGTCTAGAAGGGGATTATAGCACACCAGAGAGTCCCCCTCAGCCACGATAAACACCAGATCTTTATGTACAGCTGCATGCATGCGGCCTGCAAAGGGCAGTACATAGGGCTTCACGTGGCACTTGTCAGTCTCTGTGTCAAAGCACTGGATAAGTCGGGAAGGTTTGGTAAAGAAGTCTAGATCATTCTCCTCGCCCCCTAGTAAGTAGATGATTCCATTGAGGTTGGCACCAGCAGCCCCAGATACAGCCACCTCTAACTGAGTTGTCTCTGTCCACACATTGTCACCTACCCGATAGTAGATGACTGCATTAGAGAGGGTATCCTGCAGTGTCTTGCCACCCAGTGAATATATGGCATCTTTCCCAGGCACAGATACCAGGGTATGCTGGAGGCGGTCCCGGGGCAAAGGAGCACACCACTCCCAGTCAACGGTGGCATTGTTGCATTTCCACATACGCCGTGGGATGGACCCTCCCACTACATACAAGTCTCCACCATGCTTGCAGGCTGCAGTGATTTGGTGGCACAAGCTGTTTTGGCCACTTACACTGATGGAGTCATCTTCTGCACAGTGCAAGGACACAGCCAATGAGTGGGTGCGAGATGACTCTTTCCCGATAAGGTAAATGTGCACATTCTCCCCAATTTCCTGTTGGCAAAATTGAAATTCTGACATCAGCTCATGTGATGCTAAGACAGGTATCCTTAATGGTTTGGCCTCACACATCTTGCTCCAACCTCCTCCCCTCTAGTTAGTAGTGCTCACCCTGACTTTTTTCTAATTACTTTCTTCTAGGCATTTTATGCAGAGGTAGAGAATCTTTTGTTCATCCCTGCAATCCAGTTTATTTACATATTTATTCAAACAAGATCTTGCTATGTAGCACAAACTGTTCATACTTAGATTCTCCTGCTTCAAAGCCTTCAAGGGGGATCACAGGTGTGTACCACATCTGCTCTTACTGCTTTTTGTTTTTCAATATGGGGAATTAAACCCAGGACTTCACAATACATGGCAAGCATCCTAGAAACTGAATTATATCCCAGGTTATCCCATGCTTTTTTGTTGTTGCTATTATTTTTCCCCCCAAGATTGGGTTTCTTTGCTTATCCTTGGCTGTCATGGAACTAGCTCTGTAGACTAGGCTGGCCTTGAACTCAGGAATCTGCCTGTGTCTGCCTCCCAAGTGCTGGGATTAAAGGCTTGTGCCACCACCGAGCAGCTAGACAGGGTCTTATATAGGCTATGCTGGCCTTGAACCAACTATGTAGCTGAAGCCGATCCTCCAGTCTTCATGTCCATCTCCCCATGTGTTGAGCCATCGATCCAGCTAGAACTGTTAACCAGTGAAGAAAGCAGTTCTTCTTGAAGATAGCATCAAACCAGGCAGTTGGTGGCCCACACCTTTAATCCTAGCACTTGGCAGGCTTGTGGATCTTTGTGAGTTGAGTACAGCCTGGTCTACAAGATGAGTTCCAGAACAGATAGGGCTGTTTTACTGAGAAACCCTGTCTTGAAAAAACAAACAAACAAACAAACAAAAAACCCAAAAGAAGATAATAAAAGCTCCATGAGTTTCAAAGCTCATAGATTGATGGCTTCTGGGATCAGACTCCCCAGTTCTTATTAACTTCAATCTGGTGACTGATCCGTGGCTATCAAAAGAGGCAAGGTCAGAGGCTTGGAAGATGGCTTAGGTGGGTAAAGGCAGTTGCTGTACAGGCATGAGACCTGAGTTTGATCCTTGTGGTCCACATGGTGGAAGAAGAGAACTGACTCCTGCAAGTTGTCCTCTGACCCCATACCACCAAGAGACACACATTACCTGCTGCCCAAAAGAAGAAAGACAAAGGGCCACTGGTGGCTGGAGTCTACAGAGATTATGGCACCCCAAATCCTCAAGAAAGGCGCCTCACCTTCAAGCTAGTTCTGAGTGACTCTGCAAAAGCCTCTCTTTCTTCTTTATTGAAATTGATCCAGGCTTCTATTGCCTCTGTTGGGTTCTGGGAACATGGAACCCCATCTGTGAGAGTCAAAGGGAAAGCATGATCAACAACAATATTATTGGGTTTGGTTTTGGTTTTGTAATTTTTCATGTGCATTGGTGTTTTGCCTGCATGTATGTCTGTGTGAGGGTGTCAGAAGCCCTGGAACAGGAGTTAGAGACAGTTGTAAGTGGCCATGTGGGTGCTGGGAATTGAAATTGGGTCCTCCAGAAGAGCAGTCAGTGCTCTTAACCATGGAGCCATCTATCCAGCCTCATCAATGACAATCTTAATGGGCTCTCAAGAGGAATCACAGCTGGGCATAGTAGCGGATGCCTTTAATCCTAGCACTTGGGAGGCACAGAAATCTCTGTGAGTTCAAAGCCAGCCTGATCTACACGGTGAGTGAAAGGACAGCCATGATTATGTAAAGAGACCCTGTCTCAAAAACAAAAACAAAACTTGATTCACTTTATTAGACCACCATTCGTTACATGTATTTGTTTATGCATGTATCCAATTACATACATATGAAGTTAATTTGAGATTGCCCCACCACTAACATTTTGCAGTGTTGGGATCAAACCTAGGGTTTCATGTACACCAGAGAATTGCTCTATGACCAAGTTTCACCACCAGCCCTAGCTTTGCTTTTTAAAAGAAAAGTGGATGGCATAATAAGCTCCCATATGCCAGGCTATAGAGCACACATCTAAAGTACAGTTCCACCTCATTTGTAGGGGCAGAACTGATACCTAAAGTTAGTACCCAAATGTTTCCTATTTTGGATATCTTGATTCATCATCATCTACATCAATTTGTTTAAGTAAATAATCCTGTAGGCCTTCAAGGTACAGGGCAAATGAAAACATCAGGCACCTCTTACTTCCTTTGGTGAAAAAGTGATACAGCTTTTTATTCTTCAACTATTTCTGTGTGGCACTCTGTCTCTTACAGCAGCTACGCTGATTCTCAACCTCAAAATAATCTCCACCAGAAACGATAATAGGAACTAACAACATTTAGTTAGTGGATACTCCTGAGCCAGAGTATCCACTGAAAATCACTCTTGCATAGTTGGGTATGAGAAGCCCTCCATGAACTCACCTGAGATGATGTCAGTGAGTAGATGGTGGGGCAAGTGGAGAAACTCCTCTGTGCTCTGCAGCTGGGCCAGATGGGTCTTGGCACAGTGCTTGGCAGCAGTGTAGAGCTCAGGATCACTGTGCCTATCTGCAAGCCACATCACCTGAAGGCAGTTTCCCACTTGTACTGTGCGTGCCAGAAACCGAGAACATTCCTCAAAGAGCGATGTCAGCTGATACATGTCTGACACCTCGTAAATCTCCTGCAGCTCCTCGGCTCGAAGCTTCACCGTCCCATGGTATATATAATCAACCAGGAGCTGGAAGACAGACTCACTGACATCTTGCAGCACAATCACCCGGTTGTGAGCCTCCTTCAGGTTAGAAGTGAACATGGAGCGGAAGAAGCAGCTCTGAGCTGACAGGACCAGCCGGTGGAGCTGAAACTCTCGGCCTTCCACTGAGATGGTGACATCAGCAAAAAGCTCCTCCTCTAAACACAGTTTCATAATGCCCTGAGCCACGCGGCCTGAGTGAGACCGGTCTTTGAAAGTATAGTTCACAAAGTAGTTTTCATCCATGGATGCTCCAGGCTCCTCTGGTGACTCCATGGTAGCCAACTTCTCTCTCTGCCACCTATCTGCAAAACAATACCACCCTAAGTATTTGAGCAATTCACAAGACATTGTCCATGCCTCCAACTGTCCAACTCAGCATAGGGAGAAGGAGCAAAGTGGGTCCAGACTGGCCTTATCCCTGGCATTGCCAACATGGTCTATGACATTCCTTCATCCTAAGTTTTCCTGCAGTGAGGTCTCTCCTCCAATGAAATAATTAAAGTTCTATCTCTGCTGTCTTTCCTTAATGGAAAATCCGATAT